ACCTACAAGGATGCTGCCTTTAGATGGCCTCTTTTGCCTGTAGATGGCCACTGAAGTCAGTATTTAGGAACACTGACAAAAATGGCTTTGAAGAAATCAGACCATGCAAACGACAAAAATAAACCTGACTTATACTTAACATCTCATTTTCCAAGATCTCTGTGAAAGAGGTGAGCCACATCAATTCTGTTTCTGAAAGCCTTTAAGTGCACACACCTTTTCCCTGCTAATCAGTTTTTATTTTTTTATCTAGCTTTTCTCTTTTTAACTAAGAAGTATGCTGTTGATTACAAGTTAGCAAGCTGGAGAATAACTCTCTAGGCAAAGCCAACACAATACTTACCCTGACAACAAACACTGGACATTTTACTTTATTGGTAGATGTCCTAACAAATTTTGTTGTTACAGCATTCATAGGGTTATTCAGCATTCCAATAGGAGGGACCAGCTGCAAAAGAGGAAAGAAACAAGAACATTAGCTACAGTTTCAATCTGTAACCTTGGAAACAATGAAAAAGCAGGAAAGTCCAAAAACCCTGTTTTTGAAAAGAAATAAATCAGTGAAACTGAAAATGTCTGTTTAGAAGATTTTTCTTTTCCATCTCACAGACACATGCTGAGCCATCATCTCAAATGCAAACAACCTTTCAACACGGGCTTTAGCAAACCTGTTATGCTAAAAGAGAACTGAATAACTCCGAGTAAGCCCACCAGGCTCTCTTCCTGGGACAAACATTTCTTTAGTGCAGGGTAATACAGTATGACACAAACATTTTTGTCACCTCTCAAAGGCAAAAATTAACTTGGTGTTACACAGGTAGAATTTTACATTTTAGGGAGAAGAGTATTATTGTCCACAAAAAAATTTCAACATGGAGAAAGGATTTACTTACATCATTATAATATCCTGCATCAGGCTGGATTGCTCTCATATCTCGCTGGTCTCTTTGCCATACTCTATTCTGTAAAAAACAAAAAAGCTGACATTATTGATGCATTCAAATGTTACTGAGCAGAACAAAATAGGAAGAATTTTATGAAGAGCATGTTTGAGAAATGCTGCATCCATTGAGTAAGTTCTGAAATAAATTCAAGTAGAAAATTTTTGGCTTTGACTTGTAGACTTTACATCCTTAGGCAGAAGGGAGATGAAAAAGGATTTTAAGGAAAATTTAATATCTGAACTATTTGTTATAACAGCATCCAAAGGCTCCAGTCATGGTTGTGACCACTACTCTCCATGTATTGCGTATCCTAAAGTAAAAATTGTACATAAAACACTGAAAGGTAGTTTAGTAAGCTGCATTACCCAAAGGAGACACAAAACTGGTCTCCTGTTTTTTAGGTCACTAAGAATGGACATTCCTATACAAGCAATACCTTCAGCTCTTACAAGAACTTTGCTCTGCAGTAATCAATCTACATAACCTAGGATCTGTGTTAACAATCTTTTGGGCTAAGTACAGACACTCAAAAAGCCCAAGGCTGAATCAATTCAATCCTTGCAGGTCAGTCTAAGCTGCATAGATTGAACCAATAAGCAAGTGAACAGACATTCACTTTTGATTCTGGAAATGCAGCCACATGCCTGCAGTAGCCTAGGCCAGAAGCTGGGGGGG